GGGGGGGGGGGGGGGGGGGGGGGGGGGGGGGGGGGGGGGGGGGGGGGGGGGGGGGGTCAGACAGTGCAACCCCCATCCTTTCTGGGGTAGAACACAACAAGGTGTGTATGTGTGTGTTTATTTGTAGCATCGACCGCGCAAACCGGCGACCAATGAAAAGACGTCAGTCTTAGTGCGGTTAAAAACACAAAACACTTCTATTTGCCATGAACTGGGACCCCGTGAGGGGACAGCATGGGGGAGGCTAAACTGTCCTTCGGATCAAAGCCAGAAACAGCAGCAACAGATGAAAACTGCACGCGTCTACCAAGGCTACTACCTTGTACTCGAGTTCATTTAGGAGAACTTTCGCCATGATCCTCCTTGGTTTCGCTCTGACCTTATTCTGATCCTCATGTTGACAAGAATCTCTGTGCAGTTCTTCCCTAGCCCTACGTTTCTTTCGAGGGGGAAGGTCATCTGGCTCAAACCCTTTGCTCTTTTCCACTCCTCCATGTTTTCCTCCCCCATCGTCGTCTTCGTCCTCCTTTCTTCTCTTTCCTTCGTCTCCGTCACTCCCAAAAGATTTACCCTCACTACTATCGTTGTCGCAGGGATCTCAACCGATTGGCCCTGGTGGAAGCTGGTCGATTAGTAGCCCATGACGTTTGAACACATCGCGAGTTCGCATAGACAGAAAACGAGCTAGCTCGAAGATAAACCGTCTCCGAATCCTGTTAGTATGAAAAGCTTTCAGGCGAACTAAGGATCTTTCGTCGTCTAAATTCCCCCGGCAAAGGCTTCGTGCGCCAAGTGGTTGGCGATGGCAACGATGACTCGATTGGTGCCTTCGCCAAGACCACTATTCGTTTAAAAAGCAGCAGTAAGGAGGGTAGATCTAGACGTGTGTGTATGTTTTTTTTTTGTTTTTGATGTGTCTGCTGTGTGACGGACTCAGTGTTTATGTCGGTCGTGCACCACGACAAAAATTGCCTTCCCGCATTGCCGGTTGGAAGGCAACATTGTCCTAAAAGGTGAATCGTCTACACCACGAGAGCGTGTGGTTGGAGGACCGGCTGGTACTACTATCCTCGAACGTGTGCCAAGTGCGGAAGGTAAACACTTTCGCGGAATTGGGAGTGGATAACACACCGGCGTGGTGGAAGTCACGCGCGTGCCCGGCAACTCGTCTCGCGGCACGATCCTCTAATGTCGGTATGCTATAAATGTCAAAGTACCTCGATCGCCCAGCCCATCTTAGCTGCCGTAGCTTGCGCAACGCCCAGGTTGATGTCCTTATCCGACAGTTCCGGGCTCTCGTCAACGGCCTCGGTACAGGCCGTCTGTATGCCCGGCGGAACATTTCCCCTCGGGATGGCACAAGGGAGGCGCTCTCTGGAGATTGTAACTTGCGACGTGACAGCCGCAGTGGACTGCAAGAAAGAAACAAAAAGAAAAGCAACATGATGTTCGGGTATATGGAAGTATGGCGCATAAGCTCCGTGATTTGTTGGTACGGGGCGCTAAATATAACCATCGGCCGATCTCCCCTCGCATACGGACGTGAGACCACGAAGCAATTTCTACCCGGTGCGCACCTTAAAAATCCCCTGCGCATACGCCGTTTGGAATGCGATCTCGGTCCTAGCCTCCACTTTCGCCGCCGCCTCAGGCGATGCGACGAAGGCCTCAACCTTCCGACCGCGTGAAATAGCAGTTTCCACTCCGGTGTTGTGTTCCGCGCCGAATAGTAAGACGGTGTCGCCTTGACGCGAGTATCTGCGGCATAAGGCGGCATTACGCTGGTCACTTTTGTGGGGCCGGGTTACCGAGAAGAAATATACACGTTTTAGCGCATCTCCGAAAGTATCCTGCACTGACGCCATTAATAATAAGTGGCTAGAGTGTCAGCCATTTCGACCTCCCCGTTGCCGCGGACGAAGGCTTAAAAGTTCACGTTCAAACGCAAACTCCAAACTTCTTCCTTCTAAAGACGTGTCAAACATAGACCACATACCACCGCGGACATCAACAAGTGCACCACTTGACCACATAAATCGGTGACTCGGCAAGTAAGTCACGCTGTCATGTATTGGAAAGCATCTCTCGCTCGATGTCCTCCCTATCATGTCGGGTTTGGTTGCCGAAGACGAGAGAACACTAATAATACATATGGGTTGAAGACGTACACAGGATACATAATAACATCCAACGACGATATGAAATGTCACCTGTTCACGAGGAACATCAAAGCCTTGGTTGGCCAGTCCACGCCTTTCCCGGGGTGTTGGATGTCGGTGAGGATCGACGAACACTGGGATGTTACACTGGCCGCCGTGCTGTTCCCGTACAGGTCGTCCGTCGTCACTTTCTCGTTCACAGTGAAACCATCCGTCGGCGAGTTGCTGGATGAAAAAGAGGTCAGATGTACGAGCATGACCGCGTCCTGGCTAAACTTCAGATGACCGTTGGCGGCGGACGCAGGGCGTCCTGCTCCAGTAGAGGAGTACACCAGAGTCAGCATGTTCTCCTCGATAACCACGCGCATGCCCTTAGCTGTGAGTGCGGCTGCAGGGACAGAGATGCGCGATTGAAAAATCCAGGCGCGCCGTTGACCCACTGGTATGACGGTGGTGTCTGCGTGGAGCAACCCATGCAATCAGTAGGCCAACAATTTACGCCGAGGAACTCAAG